GATGATATCAATGTTTATTTCCTTCTGTAGTACTTATTTTTTTGTTTAGATTTGTGTTGATGTTGTGTTGTTTAGAAGTTAGGTTAATTGATATCAATGGCTTTAATGTATCTGATCTTTACTTGATATCAATAAAAATGTCATGTTTTGTTTAATTGTTTTTATTCCGTGTTTGAATTATGAGTTTGCCGATATGAAAATCCTATTTTAATTGATTTAAAAAGTTTTATTAATTAACTTACACTACAAAATTAATTTCATTATGAAATCTAGTTTTTCAAAAATTTAAGTTAACTTATAACTCGATCAAGTTAAGGATATCAATCTCATGTTCTTTTTATGCAAACATAATTTGAATATTATTATTGAAAATATTATGTCTTATTATTTTTTATTTCTTTTTTCTATATAATTATTTTTATAATTATAAGAAATTTGATTTTTTAGATTATTGATTTTGGAAAGACCTATTTAAAAAAAAAGGGGGTATATAAAAAAGAAATGTACAATGTGTACTAAAAACAAAAAAATGCCCAATGGTTAACAAAATGAAAAGAGGAATAAAATTAGTCCAAATAGAAAAAGATGCACAAAGTGTGCCACGAATATTTTAAAAGATGCACAATATCGCCAATTGAATACGTTCTTTCCTTTATCATTTAATCTTTAAATTCAAATCAATCTAATGTTCAATTTTGTTTTATATTGAAAATTGAATTTTTTGTGATCTTCATGGAATTTCCCAATATTCACATGTTTTATTCTTTTAGGGGGAGCTAAGGAGAAATTTAGGGAATACATGTTAACTCAAATAATAATTATTTTGCCATCATAAAAAAGGGGGAGATTATTTAGATAGTTGCAACTTAGTTTTTCAATTGTTGATATTCTTGCAACATGTATATTTTTTATGCTTCTAAATATTATTATTTTAATTACAATTTCTCCTAACATATTTTAAATGAATTTTTTTTATTGTTTGTGTGTACTAACATTTCAAGAAAATCATACTCCAGATTATTGAAGGCTTCAAATCAGATTATATTAGGGTTCATTATAATTGAAGTCCATATTTTTTTAATTTATTGAGTCTAAGTGAGTGTGATTGTATTTGAGTAATTGTGCATACACACATTGGGGGAGTGTTTAAAATTTATAATTATTAAACTAATCATTCTGTACGAAGTCATTTCATATGGGGTGATTTGTTCAGTTATTTTACCCTACGTGTAGTTACATAAATAGCAGGTAATTTTTTTTTCAAAATACGAATCATACTGTATGAAGCTTCCATCGTACGAACATCATCTAGAATACGAATTAAACGGGTCCCTTTTCACCCTAATGAATTCATTTTTTTTTAAATAATCGTATTGTATGATGTTGTGTTCGTACAGACATCATCCAAAGTACAAACTAGATCGGTCCCTTTTCATCTTGATGTATTCAAAGTTTTTCTGAATGGATTGTACTATACGATGTCGTGTTCGTATAGACGCCATCTAGAGTATGAATTGGATGGGTCCCTTTTCATCTTGATGAATTTAAATTTATTTTGAACTGATTGTACTATACAATATCCCATTCGTACAGACATCGTCTAGAGTACAAAAATATGGGGTTCCTTTTCTTCCCGATGAAGATGAAAAATTTTCTAACTATTTGTATTGTACGAACTTGGTTTATACAGGATGATCATCATGTACAAAATCATTTCATACTGATTCATAAAACGTTCATATATAATAGTTTTGAACTGTTCATACATACAAAAATACGATCGTACTATACGATCGTACAAGCTCAAAATGGAAAATTTCAATTTTATAGAGGGTTTTTTGTGACTTTCATATAAAAGGTCCTTAAAAACTGACAAGAAAAGTGTTGTTCTTCATGATTTTTTAAGGGCAAGTGAAAGAGAGATTGTGGTAGAGTGTTTGAGAGATATTTCTTGTAAGTGGAGTGTGAAGAGTTCACAAGATTACTCAAACATAAGGACCTCTTTATGTTTTTGGTTATCACTCATCTTTTCTTATTTTTAGTTACTCATGAGAAGATCTTTCAAGAAGATCTAGTACTCTATCGACACTTGGAGGGTGTGAAAGGATGATGGTTCTCTACCGATAATTGGAGGGTGTCAAAGGATGACGGTACTCTACTAGCACTTGGAGGATGTGAAAGGATGACGGTTATCTACCGACATTTGGAGGGTGTGAAAGATCATGATTCTCTACCGCACCGAGGATTGGAGAAAGAGAGGATTTGTAAAGGCTTTTTTTGCCATACTATGGGGGAAAAAGGAGAGTCACTTTGGTTATAGTGCAATACCTGAAGAGGGAGTCTTCAGGAGTGTATTTAGGTCATTTTTGACCGAACCACTATAAATCTTGGTCTTTTTATTTTTCACTTTTATTTTCTACAATTTATTTTCATATGGTTGAAAGCATATTTTAAACTAAAATCAAATTACTGTATAATTTTAAATTGGTTTTTTATTTGAAAAAATCCAAGAGAATTTTTAAATTAGCAATTCACCCCCCCCCCCCTGTATGTTAGCCTTGGGACAGTAGCTTAGGTTTAACAACCTGTACAGAATCAATAATTTTTATATAAGATTGTATTTTTAATCTTAAGCTTTCACTACTACCAAATTTTGAATTTACATATCTTTTTTTTATTCATTTCTTTTTCATACCTTTTTCTTTTGAGAACTACTTTATAGTTCTTTTTTTTTTCTCTTTTGTGGAGTACATAATTTATGATTTTGAATATCAACTTCTACTTTAGTCCTTTAAACAATCTTAATGATTTTAATGTAAGGACTTAATGAAATTATTAATTCCATCTTTAGATTAGTTATGATTTAATATTTTATATCTAATTTTTTATACTATTTATTTATTTTTCAATTTTAAAAGTTAATTTCATAAAGTCATAGCTTATAAATTAAAATTAGGATAATATCTTAAATGATTGAATGAGTCAAGTATTAGTTTTTCTAAGTTATCAAGTATAAACAAAGTTCATTGAAACGGATATTTAGGGTTTTCTTCTTATCCTAATTTTAAATTTTTTTAATTATCATTTTTATAAGGGTTAATTAATTAATCAGAATATAAAAGTAATTGAAGGATATTAATAATTTAAGCATGAAGAGAATTTGCTTATATATTAATATAATATAAACAAACATTACAAAATTTATGCTTTCATAAAAATGATAAAAGGCACATAAAACATGCGTTTAACACAAAATAATCCATAAAAAATATTAAATATAACGCAGATACAAGATAATAAGTGCACAAGGCACCCTAAGTTTAACAATGGCTCTCAAAGCCAAATTTGTTAATTAAGTACAAAACACAAGCCAATTTCTCCTATCACTTTTATCTCTTCTACAAAATAACAAAGTAGAACAAAATTCACGAACACATCCTTAAGAATTCTTCACTCCTCTAAGTCATATGGTTTTAATCTGTATCCACTAACTTTTTTGGTTTGTAAGGTATTCTTATTTTGTATCTTGATGGCACAATTAACAAAATTTCTAATAATAGTATAAGGGCCATTCCATCCAGTTTTTATTTTTCCATGGAAATACTGTTACTTATAATCAAATAACATGATATCTTGCACAAGAAAGAAATCATACAAGAAAACACTACCATCATGCATCTTCCTTACTTCTTCTAAATATTGTTTCTTATCTTCTTCAATCTCCTTTTTGGAATTCATTAAACTTAGTAATAATAATATAACATTTCATACGAAGAAGTAAAAAAGAATTGTCATTCTTTGTACGATCTTGATTTTGGCACTTTGAAGAAGAGTGTTTATGTTGATGCTTTCCATTACTTACAATTTAAATTCTAAGAGAAGAAAGGTTCTCACTAAAGGGTAAGTACAGACTGAAAAATGAACTTCCATCTAATAAGTTCTATAAATTTTAGTGGGAGAGAAGTTTGAAATTTTTGAAAATTTAATCATTATGGCCCATTAGGGCATTGCAGTGTTAGAAGATATGTGTTGTGGCACTCCCTTTTTCTCGCTCAAAGGTTTATTTAAAACAAATTATGCAAAACCTAATATAGAGGATAGGGTTAAAAGTGCTAAGTTTATAGTATTCAGCTAGAATAGATAACTAACTAGACTTAAGGTGAGGTTACCTCCCAAGAAATGTTAAGTTATATTCTTCAGCCAAACTTGCCCACATTTTCCATTTGGCTAAGGTGGATGATTATTACTATTCAATTGGGTCACATTGGTATCTTTTTATTTCTCCTTATGATTAACTTTAATATTACTAGGTAAAGATTCTATGGGCCTACTACTTACAAAAATTACAAGCTAACTTAATTGAGTTTCCATATTTTTAATTTAAGAGATTTGTTTCGTAATTGAGTTCTCTATTGAATGATCACATTTTCTTGTGGTGTCTTTCTAGTTTCAGTTTGATTTCCATGATTAAATCTATAAGGATAAGCTAGTCTTGGATTATTATTAGCTTGGTTTTGATTATTCCAATTTGCTTCTTGTTTATATTGACTAGAATTTCATTGATTTCCATAAAATTATTTGACTAACAAAAATTGGGGTGATTCCTCAAACCTTGATTATATGCATTTAAATTTGGATAACTGTCTTTCAATCAAATTTATATTTTTAATCCCTTAGATATCATTCAATTTCATTGAGCTTTTATCTTCCAAATATAAAGATGAATCAAAATTAAAGCCTAAAGTGCTCAACTTCTTTGATATTGTTGTAACTTATGCAGTTAAAATGAATAAAGAATTATTTCATAGACTCATTCCACACTCTTAGGATTCACCCTATCAGCAGGCTACTGGAAATAATTTTTTGAAATTTCCTCAATTAATTCATAAGCATTCTTAAAAGGTTTTGACATCAAAGAAACTCCAACTACATCATTAATTATGGCTCTAAGGGATCCTAGAAATCAACTATAAAAAGTTTAAATTATCAACCAATCATGTAAGGCATAGTGAGAGTATTTTTGAAGCATCTCCTTGAATCTCTCTAACTCTTAAAAATTGATTCTCCTTCTAACTAAGTAAAAGAAGTAATATCATTTCTAAGTTTGAAAGTCTTAGAAGGTGGGAAATATATTACTATAAAATTGTTGGCCTACTCATTCCATGTGAGAGTCTAGGGTTATAGAATTTAACCACATTTTTTCTTATCTCTTAGAGAAAATGGGAATAATCTAAGTCTAATGGCATCATCAATAACTCCATTGTACTTAAATATTGCATAAAGTTTTAAGAAATATACTATATGTTAGGATCTTCAAGGCGAGATCCTTTAAAATGAGAATTTGAAATTACTAGATGGAAAAGAGGGGGGGTGAATTGTGAAAACTTTTTGACAATAGTTAAAACCTAAGAAGGAGTTCTAATATTTTTTTGATGTTTTAAAATTTTAACATGAAAATTTAAACAACTTTTCTTTCACAAATTTTCCCAAGCAAATATTGCAAAATAAAATGCACGCAGTAATAAAAGATAATAAGGAAAAGCACATCAAGATTTTTATAGTGGTTCGGTCAAACCATGACCTACGTCCACTCCCCGGAGTCCTCCGCTTCGGGTATTTCACTACAAGCAATAGCACTCATTTTACCCCCCTTGGCGAGGCGGAGAAGTTCTTACAATACCCCTTTCACCAACCTGGTGTGGTGAAGTGTCAAACTCTGCTTTCACCCTCCTGGCGACGGCAGAGAACCTTCGCATTTTTCTCCCTCCTGGAGAAGGCAGAGTACCTCGAGGTCATGGATGTAGAAGAGCCTTTCCCCTTGGAGATCCTCCCACTTGATGGTTTCCCTCCCTCTAACCTCTTTTAGTGACATAATTTTTTTTTCTAGACAAAAGTCTATCTCATATTGACAACTGGTTTTTTCAACTAAGATTCTTTTTATCTTGCTACAATAATCTATCTTGTGCATAATATCCAAACTTCTTATATATCTTTCAAGTTAAATGAAATCTTGCCATTGCATTTATCACATGATTATGATTTTGTTTTGTGACTTGTTCTTCTCTATGTTAGAGAGAGAGCTTCTATTCTCTAATATTTGAAGGATATACTCACAACTAAGGTTCTTTTTAAGGGTTTTGTTAAAGAGAACTTACCTTGAAAAAAAAATAAGAGGAAAAGTGGAAAAGAAGCAAATTTGAAATGAAAAATATATATATACACAAATGTGTATCAAAAATCAAGATGCTCTAAGAGCCAAAACAAAGATACAAGAGGCATAAAATGAGCCCACTAAATACAAGATATTATCTCTTTTCTGAAATCTTAAAACTTAGAGAACTCTTTGGTTATTTGATGCTTTCAAAGGCTTGATTTCAAATTCCATGATTGAGACAAATTACTTTGGTATATTATTTATAAGATATTTTATTTGTAACCAAGTTTTGATTGAATCTTCTTTTTACCCTGTAAAGTTTTTTTGAGTTAGAACTTTTATTTTTAAAAGGACGATTATTGCCCTGAAAGAAGTCCAAGCTAGGGATTAACAAGATCAGATATTCTACCATTTTCAGATTTTGACTTGTTAACTCTTTGATTTTTTGAATCTCTAAAATTGAATTGTTTGAAAATTTGTCATATGGATACTTTGCTAAAAAAAAAGCTTAACCAAAAACAAATTTTTTTTTTCTTTGGTTCTCTTTTTAGTTTTTTGCCTTTTTGTTGTTTTTAGCTTTGTATTGTGTGTCCTTTATTTTTTTTAGGGCTTTGATCATCAACTTTTTTCTTGGATTCAAATCTCTTGTCACATCGTCCTGGCCGATTCTCATATCATCTTGGACGATAGGACAAATTTCTTCAAAATTCTATCTGCTGAACTTTTCTGTGCTTGCTATAACTCATCGTCCTGGGCGATAATTTATCGTCCTAGACAATCTAATCGAACTCTGTTGCAATCATAATGATAGTCATGGCCAATAACATATTTCATCCTGGCCGATGCATTTTATGGTAATCGTCCTGGTCGATACACTAGATCGTCCTGGACGATCCACGTGTCAGCACGTTTAAATCCTTAAAATCGGCCCCTGGATGATCCATTATTGGACAATCGTCCTGGCCGATCCACTAATCGTCCTGGATGATACACGTGGCACAGATTTAAAATGTTTTAACTTCGGCCGGTACGATCAATTATTGTGCATCATCCTAGATGATACACCTAATCGGCCCAGACGATCTGCTTTTTCAACGGTCGTCCGGCTTGACTCCTTGGGATGATCGCCTGTGTCTAATCATCCTGGCTGATATCTGATCGGCCCGACCGATCGGACCGCCTTTTTGACCAATCGGCCTGTACGCAATTATTGTCCCATATCGTCCTTGACGATTCTGCTATTGGCCTAGATGATATGGTCATTTCTTTAAATTCAGGCCATTCCAGCCATGTTTTTCACCTCACACCTCCTCTTCTCTTGTGTTTTCTTACTAGTCTCTCGCTATGGCTGGTGGGAAGCGAGTCTGATAAACTTCTAGGAGTTCTTCGAGGGCTAGGGTTGACCCTTATTTCAGGGAGGCAGAAGATGAATCTGCTTACCATCGATATAAAGAATGTGGGATAACTGTCTCCAGAATCATCAATCCTGTTCACCTTTCGTATCCGGTAATTGATCTTTTTTCTCACACTTCTCTTTGTTTCATTCTGTCTCTCACTTTCCCCTTTCATTCTAAGCTTCTTCGTGAATTCTTCACAAATCTTCGCATAAATCCAAACTTCACAGCCCTAACCTCCTATGTGAATCGACGCCCCGTCGAAATCACATATCAGGACTGTGTTGAACTTCTACAGCTATCCACCACCGGTGATAAGATTCACATAATCATTTCAGATCCTGATTTTGACTGGTCCACGGAAAACCATTTTCTTTGCCAGACCAATGCACCTTTTCAGGTTGGAGAGACTAGCTCTTTAGTCAAAGATGCTAGGACATTTCAGCATGTCCTTCAAACCTCCATTATTCTAAAAGCTGGGGACCGAATACACATCACTCCTCTACTTTCTCTGACAACTTTTTACATCATGGCTCATCGAGAATTTAATACTGCTGACTTATTTTTTCGATACATTGATCATTTAACCCTAATCCGCGATCCAGGTCATAAGTGGAAACCCAATTTGGCTTTAGGACACCTCATAGCCTATGTCCTTGAAACCAAATATCAACTCCAATATCCTGCTCCTCCCAACCTCCCAACTCTCTTCTACTCAAATAGTTCCTTCAATACCCTTTACAGTACTCGTCTCCACCCAGGGGATGAGGAACCTCGGGGGGCTGAGGAGGAGGAGGCTCCCGCTCCCGCTTCTATTCCTGATCCTCTTCGACAGCACTCACAGTTTGACCACTTAGTGGAGAGGTTTGATCAATTAGAGACCCGCTTTGATGCTTACGTTGCTGCACAGGAGCAGCAACATTCTGAGGACATTGCCCGCTATGAGAAGGACCGCACAGAGGACTTATCCCATTTTGACAGCTACATTACTCACCAGCAGCAGCAGTATGACCAGGACATCGCCTGTTTCAATGCTCAGTTTACTACACTAGCTAGCTACTTTTAGCAGCCACCTCCACCACCTTCATCTGATGATCAGGGTCCCTCATTTTTCTAGTCTTTGTTTTATGTTTTCTGTTTTCTATTTTTTGTAGTTTGTCTTGTAGTTTGTTTTAGTTTCTATTATGTTGTTTCCTTTTTTCTTTTTGTGTGTTTAGGACCCTCTTTTGTGATGACAAAAGGGGGAGTAGGATGTGGTAGTAAAAGTTGATGTGCTTGTAACTCTAAAATTTTAATGAACAGCTATTTTTACTGAGATTTTCCTACTTGTGTTTTCCATCATCAAAAAGGGGGAGATTGTTTCAAATCTATTTTCATAACTTATGTTTTGATTATTGACAAACACTATTGGTTCTCTTGGACTATTTGTTACTTCTAACTTTTCAGGAATCAAATATCAGACGAACAAATGAAGCCAATTCAAGTTTGCATAGGTTAGGGTTGAGTCAGTCTATACTTTGCTTTTTCTCTTATTGAGTCTATTTGTAATGTTCAAAGATACTAATGCTAAGTAACCCTACACACACACTTGAGAGACTTAGAATTTTTGTTTTTACTCACATCGGCCAGGACGATATTTGTATTGGCCTGGACGATCTAGTTTAAAATAGAGATTCTATTCAGGATTCTTAATTAAGGCAGCCATCATTAACAGATCGGCCTGGACGATATGTGTATCAGCCATGACGATAAGCTCAAAATAGAAAGAAATTGCCGCCATAAACAATTAAGGTATTCTATATTTTTGGTAATCGTCCAGGACGATCTTGGATCGGCCTCGACGATATTCACAATTATGCCTTAATTAATCAAATAAATCAAGGAAGTAATTAAGTATGATTGATACGATCATATTGGCCTAGACGATCTCAGGATCGGCCAGGATGATATATTCAAAAACCTTAGTTACTTCTGGATGATAAATATCGGCCAGCTTGAATTCAGGGCGATGCTCTGGACGATTTTCTTCTGATTTGAATTGATCGGCCTAGACGATCGTGAGATGGTCCTGGACTATCAAGCCAATTTTCAATCGTCCAATTTTCATTCAGGGCGATGCTTTGGCCGATCTCATGGAATTTATACTGATCGGCCAGGACGATTTGCATATCGTCCTGGACGATATAGTCGACAACTTGCAATTAATGAGCTCCTTAGAAGCTCTTCTATTTAAGAGCTCTTGTTCAATGTTTTTGAACAATCTTTTGCTGCTTCCTTGACCTGAGAAGACCTTGAAGAGAGAGAGAGAGAGAGAGAGAGAGAGAGAGAGAGAGAGAGAGGATCTTGTGAGGGGGAGCTTGTGAGAGGATTCACAAGGGTTGCTTTAAGGATCGCTCTGCTTCTTCTTCATCTAGAGTTTCTCATCCGTGAAATGGTCGGTAGAGGTAAGAATTCAGCATCTGATTATGGTTCTCTGCCAGCTTCAGGAGGAAGCAAAAGGAGATTGGTTCTCTGCCTTGCCGGGGTGGCAAAAAAAGGTTCTTTGTAAAGGCTTCTCA